CGCTCACACCTGAGGCTTTCCTACCGGTGACCCGGATGAGATGGAACAGCTTACGGGAATTACCCATGGCGGCAGCACGTTCCATCTCTGACGCGCGTTTAGTCCACCAGATCTCGCGATCTTTGAGTAGGCTTACGTTGAGGTTACGGCTCGTTGCTCTTTGTATTTCAATATGGTCGCTGCCGGTCGGGATTGATCGGCGTGCGTCGAGAAGCTGCAGAGACTCCGCAGAAATCCAGTGTGTCACGGCACGGTATGGCAGATCACAACTAACTAAGCCAGCAGAATGCACAGCATTCTTTATAAGCGACCAGTGCTGGTTATCGTCATCGAGTGGGGTTGATTCTAGCTTTTCAACTAGCGCGTTCTGAAAGGCAGTTAGGCATGCTGGTTCAGACAACTGATCGTAGTTTAACCGTCGGTGTGTCAAGCGTTTGGAATGCCCACCGAAGCACACGGACAGCTTGGTGCAAACTAACGTGTGCTCGGANGATCAATCGGATAATGCAGCTGAAGTCTTGAATGCGAGTCTCTTGGATACAGCGCACATCGATGGCTAGGGTCTCGAGCGTACGAGCTAAACCGGCCTGTTGTCCTATACGCGTCAAAATGCGCACAATAAATGTGGCTAGTTTGACAGGACATCAAGGGCGACAGTTGGAGGAGGAATCGGTGAGACTTGAGCGGTAGTCGAGGTGGAACATGACGGAACAAAGGCAGAGTGTTCATCTGAGGCACTAGTGTTTGCACGATCGCCTGAAGATGCGTATAGGACAACAGGCGTGTTTAGATCGTACGCTCAAGACCTTAACCATCGATGTGTCTTGTATCCAAACCACGCGCAATGAAAACTCTAGCTGTAACCAAAGAGTAGTTCTTTAAAATTTACACCTATTTCCACAATTTCATGAATTTGTGCGGCTGCTGATGATACTGGTGGTGTTTAAAAACAAAATACAGTGCAGTTAATCGATCACATATTTCCACCCACATTCATTGCTATTTTAGTGTAAACATTTTCGCCGCTCTCATATTTTCTTGCTCCGCATTTCTAGCGTCTTACTGCAGCCAAGAGACCGATGATTATTGTGGGTAGTGAATGCTTACAGCGGCCGGACGGGCCCGCAATTCACAGCAATGCGCGCACGTTGGCCGGCCAACTTACGCCGTCCACAAAGGATCATCCAGTGTTCAACGTGCTGCACCGTGTGAGTTTTGCATAGTCACAACTATCTCGCATCTATGTATACCGCGTTCCATTGCTTTTTCCCTAGTATATTCAAATCATGCTTTTATCCTTCTGTCATATCAATTTGCATACGGTTGTAGTATGGCGATATCGTTCTTAACAAATCCTTCAAGTTAATAAGCGAATTTGAAACATACTGTGATGTTAAGTGAATGTAGTTGATAATTCGTATGTGCATATATGCTCATTCACAGGCGCCAGGATCTGTGTAATGCTAGTGTGGGTCTTCCAGTATAGTGTGCAGCCCTTGGTGTCTGTGATTTAGCATTGGCTATAAAAATCAGTGTATAGTTCCACTGAACATCCCACTGTCGCTTCCATTTCTCTGCACCTAAGTTTAGAATATTCGTTATTGGAATATTTTTCAGCAATATAATGCTGAGCTGTTGAAGAGCTTCGCTTAGGGGTTCTAAGCTCTAGGATGTAGTTGGTTCATGTTTGAGGGCCTTCCAGAAGGTGTAAGCAACGTTACCTGAAATTTGTTTTTTGGATGCTTTTGACTGTGGTTAACCTCTTCTTTCGGGATAAATGCAGGCCAAATTTCATTTGAGACCCGGAAATTGTCTACAATATCATATATTATTGGGTACCTGCTTCTTAGAGCAAATTTTCTTGAGCGTTACTCTGCAGTTGTTGACTCTCGATAGTATAGTAATGCGTGGTCTTTTCAGTCTCGTTTAATGAACTGCTGATCTGAATTCAGCAAAATTACTCCAATTTGTTATCACTATTCTACTCGTCCAAGAGGACTCATTTAGCGTTTATTCCATTTTTTCGTTATTCCGGCAGTGAGGAACATCTACTGGGGATTAGGCCGATGTGCGATAAATATACAAGTTCTTTCACGCCAACTGTGATTTGGGGAGTAGCTTCAATCAAATTCCCTTTATTCCTTTTTGTTTTTCCAGTTTGCCAGTCAGGTTGCTGCTCTCGATCTGGGCTATACACCGAGTGTAAACCAAATCAAGCAAGCCAAACCTCGTATCCTGTTTCTCCTGGGCGCCGATCGAGAAACAGTTACACGAGCGGATCTTCCGAAGGATTGCCTCGTTGTATTTGTTGGTACGTTCATCTCAGGATAAATGGCGTAGTCATTCTTGTTCTAGCTGGTGACTGAGTGCTTCCTGGTCAGTGTTCTTTTCGGATTGGGCGGGTTACTTTTCGTTTGGTTAATATGCTTACATTTCCCAATTTTTCTTCTTTCCATTCTTACCAATTGGGTCACAGGTACCTAATGGCCCCTTTTGCTAGTTGCATTCTGGTAATTGTAATCCCACATGCCTCCTGTTAACGCAACTCATCAGATATGCCAGCAAGATCAAACTATCAGAAGTCAGAGGATTATTGAAGCTGAAATTCCCTTTTCGCTTAACCGAGTTCAGTGTGCGTACACTGTCAGATTGATTAACAGGCTGCCTTAGTTAGAATCCTTAAAACTTTCCATTTAGATGTATGCTGTGTATCTGAAACATGCTTATTGGACCATACTTAAATCATCTCCCTGCGTCCTGCTGGTTCAACCTCATCTGAACCTCGCGGTGTCACTGGTGTTGGGATTGCGCGAAGTGCCAAGGCTGGGGGCTCGCTTCTTGACTGGATTGCAGTCAGTAGCCAACTGTGTGCTGTACGTCTCAACGGATCACCACAAGTGAACAGCTACAGAACAAAGCGTCGATACTGATGCACGGACCGATTGCAGTGCACCTGAAACCACAGTATCTTTCTCAATTACTCCAAAGCGTTCGATCAAAGGACGTCGTAGTAGTTGCCGGAGACTTCAATGCTCTAATGGGATCCCTGGACGAATCAGAAAGGCTTCTTGGCGGACCGTATGCAATCTCCGCTAACCGTACGGACAACGGAGATAATCTACTTCAACTCTGCGCTGACCACGGGCTGTTCCTATCAGGCACGAACTTCTCGCACAAGAAACAACGCCACGTTACTTGGAAATCGCCATTCTCTCCACAGCAATGGACAGAAATCGATCATATCGCCATCAGTTACTGCTGAAGGGGGTCGATTCAAGACTGTCGCTCTCACTGGTTAACACCTGTGGATACGCACCACACTTTGTAGGGGCCAAATGCTCCTTACACCTGTCAAACAACCGCGAAAAAGCCATCGACAACGGATATCCACGATTGTTGCAAATCGCCCATCCGGGAAATATGTTAAGAAGTGACATCCGCAGTGCCAATGTACCTTTTCTCTTATCCGACACTCAATTGCCATTTTGTAACATGTTTCCATCATTATTCATGAATTTGTCAGTCAATTGCATTTGGTTTAAAGGAATGGGTATTATTTAAGGGAATCACGGTCCTAATGGTATTTACTCACTGGCATATTGAGGGCCTAGACTGACTGCACTCATGCAACGATTCATCCTAACATTCACGTTGGTGCATCCATCAATTTTGACGTAATTCGCTTCTTTATCCGGCCGGCAGAGATCAGTTACTGTCGGGTTCGTTGATTCCTGTCTATGACGCACACTCGATCAACGATCACTTACATAACGTTTCCGGTTTGGGCGGTGAGGGTGAAGAACAGCTCACTCCACCCCACCGAAACTTTCTCGATCGTTAACTCACCCCAAAAGTACTTTCTTGTTTACGGAGAATTTGCTTTATTTGGACTGCACAGACCCTGTCCAATCGGTAACATTTGATGGCCGAAACACCAGTCATCTTATGGGTTTCTCAGCGTAATTAGATGGGTTGGATTCACTTGAAGTTACAACGGACCCACTCGAAGGTATAACGAATTCACTTGAAGTTGAAAAGGTATATCAACTGAGGATTGTGTGTAGAAGGACGGTAGTCTCAAATAAATATGGCTTTTGTCACATCACTACTCACAAGTAACTGAGTTGAAAATTTTACTTGGTATTTTATTTTAAAATCAGGCCATCACGGAGATCGGGGCGCTTCCATGGCCGATGTGGTGCTTCCTGGGGCCGCGTACACGGAGAAGAACGCAATATATGCTAATACGGAAGGGAGGGCCCAGCATACCCAATTGGCTGTCGTCCCACCAGGTTTGGGGCGAGAGGATTGGCGCATATTCCGTGCGATTTCTGAAGTTGTGGGTACACCACTTCCGTATGATAACTTGGAGCAAGTGCGCTATCGAATGGCCTCTATCGCACCCGGTCTAACTGAAATGAACATAGTTCAACCTGCATCTACCGAAAGTCGCCATGCTGCGGATCAACTTCTAAAGGTACATCAATTATTCTCAACCTGTTTATGGTATACGTAAATGAACTGCAATATCCGTCTTAGTTTGCGTATACCTACCGTCCTGTACCAGTGTGTCTCGTTTCCGGGGTTCTGTGCCGTCGCATGAACGATATGCGTCATTTTCACTCCACCAGTATCGATTGTGGGTTTTTAATATGTGAAACTCTCCGGGTCTTCGAGTTCAACCATGCTCTCACCAAGGTGAATGACAATTTACGGAACTATGGTTGAAATTTGGTTGCACCTAATAGTTCAAAAGTGCAACACTGTTCCGCATTTTTGAGTTTTTGAACTGGCACTTTCTCTTGTTTGATGTTCAGTTTCAATTTGTACAACCATTAACCATGAACTTTCATGCGCCGGGTTTGGTTGCTGTCTTTTGGTTACTCATTTAGATGAATAGGAGGGAAACAGGAAGGTTGTAAGTAGATTCGAAGAGAAAATTGAGAAGTTCAGTGGACTTATGTTGCGAAGAAATCGAGAAGATCGACGAACGCTACTTTGTACGACACTCAGTCATATCACTCAGTGTCTCTAACCATCGGGTACGATCTTCCCGAGGTCCCCAGCCAGGGAGTCTAACAGGACCTATGCGACCTAGACTCCTGGTTAGGGTTTTCATACTCTCATGCCATGTCTTAGCTGGACAATCCCTGGCTTTTTCCACCCACGACCTGCCTCGGCAAACATCGCTCGTCGTGACAACCTATTTATTGACATGCGTAACACTTGCACCATGCAACGTAATCTATGGTGGTCGAGCGCTTGCTCCAGTGGGCGACTGCGGGTTACCTAAAACTGCACATTGTTCGTCCGGATGTCCCACCAAATTCATGCAATGTTGCGTAGACAGCGGTGTTCAAACACCGCCAGTCTATCTTTATCCTGTTTTCCTAATGGTCAAGTTTCTGTGCCGTACAGCAGGACTGGTCGAACTGGCGCGGCATACAATCGATCCTTCACAGACAGCCGGATGTCGCGACAGCGCCACAGGCGTATCAGGTTAGCAAACGCCAACCGAGCCTTCTGTTTGCGAGCTGACACTTCATCCGTGATGCGTCCACCGGGTGAGATGTAGCCGCCCAAATAACAAAACTTATCCACTTGCTCTATTACTTTTCCAGTTAGTGGGTCTGGTTGCGGTACTAACCCAATCTTGGAGCAACATTTTATATTTTGAAGGTGCAAAACACATACCGAACATGGCTACACTAGCACTCAAGCTATCCAGAAAAGC